ATCACATCACCAAGAGAGAGAAGATTCGTTTCCTCTCTGTGGTATTCGTTCTTCATGTGATCATAGAGTTGTTTGAGATCGTTGTCATGATCACTGCATAATGTCATTCGAATGATCGACATTGTCGCATCAGCTGATGATTGATCATGACAAATCTCATTCAAACAAAAGATCGAACCAAGCATGAACAGTACTTCACTTTCATACTTAAAATAGCTCAGTGCGCTAACATCAGCGACAGCACGATTATACTCAGTCGAATCTCGAATTACGCGAGGATCAACGACGATCTCGAATAACACAGCAACAAGATCATCCGATGTTTTGAATTGGAGATTATTGTTCACGAATCCTACTGCCACATCTCGATCGGCAGTAGTCGATAAAAATGAATTCATCGAAATGATATTCCCGATCGATTTGCGCAATTGTTTCAATTCATCTCGCGAAATAATTTGACCACGATACACGGTTATCCGTCGTTGACACTGATGAACGCGTAATTGCTCGAAAATGTCCTGCATAACAGTACGAAATAGGAACAAGACATCTACATCTTGCACACGCAGAGCCTTGTTCAAAACGCGATAAACAAACGACTCACGTGTATACCACCATACGGCTTTCTTAGCTTCATATTTCGCATTAAATTCTTCTACCAATTGCCATTCGACTTCATTGTCTTTGTATTGATTCTTACAGAGTTCATATAATTCTCGTTTGTCTTGTTCGTTTGGTTTGATTTTAAGCAGTACATTGATCAATAGTTGAAAGTGTAAAAAATCACCATTCATTTCCGTTGAAGATCGATCAAAAATTTTCATCGCTAATGGTTCTTCAACTCGAACTCGACTTTTTTGATCTGTCCGAATGATGTTAATCAGTTCGTCCAGGTTGTTGCATACAGCTTTCACCTATAACAACCTAAGAATGTATGGAATAGTTTTCGATAATATGTTCTTACCTTGCTGTACGGGTGGCTCCATTCTTTGTTGGATGCTATGTCATAGCAATAAACATAAATTGATGATACCTGTCGTAGCTTCTGCATTTCAGGTACCACTTTACGACCTAATTGGCCACTTACAATAAGAATTGTAAGATCGCCTTCATGAATAACACGGACACGATCCATGAATTCGTTTGGATCGACGAAAGTTCTCAGTTGATTGATGATTGATCGTAATCGCTTTTGAGCCGCCTTGTTTTCTTCGTTATTCGCTGAAGCATCTAACCAAAATAGGCTGTATGTTTCCAAATTGTCATTATTGTGACTGGATTGAACTTTTGAGCATGCCATTTGGATTTGATTTGTGTATGTATGTAAGTACGTGAGTGTGTGTGTGCTTGAATAGTTTTCTCTTGCGTTTGCAATTCGAATGATCGTGCTTTGCTGCTAGACGCGAATTTATTTACAACAATCACGTGCGAAAAAAATTCTCGCTCTTATCTTTACTGTGTAGCAGTCAATCAAAAGTTGTTGTGTTTTGTTTCACTTATCGTCAAAGACAAACAGAAAAAAAACCATATTCCCTCCTATTCTCGCTTTCCCCCTGTTCCTTTAACAATTCATATTTACCTCTCTTACCTGCCAGCCAGGTGAGCACTATTTCGCCGAAACAAAATTCCTTTTATTGTGTTTCGTTATATATATCATACATGCTTCATTCGCAGACTTCAGTCAACAAACAGCACACACTTCACATGCTTGGTTTTTTCCAACTGCTACAAAACATTCATTTATTGTGTGTATCAGATGCGTTTATTTGCTCAATGATCCGTCCATTTCGAACTACACTGATAACTAACAAAAAAGGCTATCATACAATCTCTATCATTTTCCGAGTGACATAAAAAAGACAGTCAAAGCCAGTCTTCTAAGTCATGTACTTTTCTTAGCTGCGACATAAGTACAAGAAAAGTTCCTATTTCGCCTTCCTCGTATACCCAAAATCATAAAAATTTACTGGCTTTTGCTTCACTCGCGACGCACAACGACCTATCAACCATGTTACTGACCACAAATTTCTCCAATGCACTAAAATCCACAAGATCAGTACAAAAATTCCACCTGCGCATCCGAAATAGAAGAATACATCCGTAGCCAATTGCATATTTTTAAATACATCTACTAACAGCAACCAACGGCACTTCGCGCACACCGATACATACAGCCATGAATAATGTACCTACAGGCTCTACGTTAAAGTCGCACCCTCGTGGTCAGCTAGATATCAGACAATGCTCGTCATACAGGGTGTGGGTGTGGGTGGGTGTGGGTGGTAGGTGGATTGTAGGGATCGGTGGGTATGGTTGTACATGATGAGAATACCCATACCCACACCAATGGCCACACCCCACACCCCACACCCACAGCCACACCCACAGCCACACCCACAAAACTAGAATTTAAACAAATGTTAATTTCTTCAAAGATCTAAAATAAAAGTACGACATGCACTATGAAACACCCTTTTTTCGAAAAAATTCTCCGAACGGCCAACCACGCACATGAGTACATTCTGCAACTCTGAATATGCACGTATATGCTATATTGATGATAAAAACAAGATGACAGCATTGAACAGAAGCACTGATACGACAATAGACGAGGCTAAATATGGCTACCAATACAATACTAACAACATGTAAGAACAACATAAATCGTTCAAAAGAGTATATTTTGTTTGCAGGCAAATCAACGAAGACATGCTTATTGAAAATAATTCGATTTCATTTCTTTCACTAACGACTACGACGTTCTTCAAGTAGCAGTTCCAACGGTTGGTCTATGTGCATAGTAGAAGCCAAGTTTTTTCTTCATTTCTCGTCTTAATTCGGGTAAAGTGGACAAGCACACAAAAGGCAATAGTAATGGAACGAAATAAGTAAGAAATAGTGCAATTTGTTGTGGAACAGCACTGACATCATCCGGTAAACCACAAAGGCGCGCAATAGTTATGACAAACATAGGTATATTAAATAGAAGATAGAGAGCCGTGATTGACAACATTTGAATTGCCATCTTACGATGTTTGTGCCAATGGATGTTCCTATGAAAATACCATCGGCGTACGACAATACGAATGAGTAGACCAATACTGAAGATGGCAATGATCAGACTAGAGAGCAATCCATGCACCATCATATCCCACATGCCAATTACTGGATCAAGAAGATAGCACGGCATTGCACCACACACAGGCAGTGTGTAGTCGAATGAATTTGTGCAAGGAGGAAAGACAATCATCACAATATAATAGATGGTTAAATATAGAATAAGTATGGTCAACGGGGTGTAGTGAACAAGTACACGTTTCTTGCGAGTAGACACCCAACGGTCGTGAAAAATGAGAATGTGTCGTTCCATTGAAGTCCACGCGAGAATTACAGTGCCTGAACTATAAAAACCAATATCAACCAACCACCATAACAAACAGCGTGTCGGTGTCTGTGGCCATACTGTTCCAAGTCGAATGAAATCAAGGTACCATGTCACATCGATTAATTGACAAGGTAATACAGCGATGAGTAACACGGCAATTGTATGATTACTCAATATATGTCGAGAGGATCGACGCAGCAATAAATAGCAAAGAATGAACAGAGTGCAAGCAATGGCTGGAATATCGAAAAGTAGTAGTAACCAGAAGCGAACTAGACGAGGTAATGGAACTTCGCCGATATAAAGCGTAACTGATTCGTTACTTTCCATCTCAAATAAAGAATATCAAATGTTAGGAACATGCCAGCATCGTTCGTGATGAGATGAGGGTCAAGTACAAACTTCATATAAATTATTGTTTTTTTTTTTTATGAAATACATTGTTGATGACTGGTGAAATACAATCCAAGACAAATGAAACTATCCTTCATTATTTCCTTTCTATTGTAGCAAATACATCGATATGCTGCTGCGTTAATCCAATCGAGAATTTTAATAAATGTAGCTCGGATTTTTTTGTTAATGATGAAAGCAACTTCATCATTATTTTTCTTTTGTCTCCGCACGGAATTGCATTAAAAACTTTTGATTTCAGATAGAAGATGTTGATTGAGGCTATTGAATGATGTTTTATTCCAGTTAGATAGCTGCTGTTAACCGGAAGTACAGGGCGTTTCATAAGTCTTCAGACGTGACAAAATTATGTTATATATATAGACGGAAAATAATCCTTAACCGATTGTTTTCATATCAGTCTTGAGTACCCGTGATACTCTTTCAAACGATATACTCTTGAATAATATCTTTTGTTGTAATAGTAAAAAAATAAACATAAGGATGTGAGGAAGAATTTTTCGTAATAGATCCAAGTGATGTTTTTTTAAAGATTTTTTAATAAAATGCTGAACATATTCTATATAAAAAATATCATAGTAGAAACCAATAATTATTTATCTTATTCATTTAATTGACGCTCATCACATGCAACTGGTTACATTTTCAGCCAAGCTATATGTACCCAAATATATGAAAATGTGATGTGCAGAACAAAAAAATAAAGATATATTGTATTATTGAACTGCTGATAAATTGTTTCATAACCGAATTTTACCTAGAGAAAGTAACGCTAAATCTGTTGACTTATGTTTCATTGATGGTTATGCGAAAATATTAAAGAAAAAAGTACGAGTAGAACAATTTCCAGTTTTAAATAATTAAAAACTAGATTGAACAAAGAATGAAAAACAAATTGTTGATCGATTACAAAAAATTTATCCTCATATTCTCATATTTATATCTTTAATATTACAAGAGGAGACACCACCCAATAATATGTCATTTGAAAGATTGCTATGAGTACTCAACACTGATATAAAAACAAGTCCCGCTACTACATCTCTCGATTAATGAAAGTACAAGATCGTTAGTTATTGTCACTGTTGAGATATTTGTCTTACACAAACCTTCATCTGATTCTGGTGCCGACAATAGTTAGTTTAGAAGTCAATGATTATAAAATTACGAATTTCGAAACATGAACATTGGTGTTTTGGTGCTCAAAAAGCTGCAATCAGAGATAACCGGAGCGGTATCAGTACAGTTCTGACTGTATTCATAACTTTTACTTATGAGATAAGAATTTAAGTATATAAACTGACTGCTAGTTTTGAAAAACTTGATCTGTATGTATTAATATAGTATCAATCTACGAAAATGCTCTTCCCTTGTGAAGAAAAAGGCAAAAAGAGTTTGACTTCAATCGACGATGGTTAAAACAATCAATTAAAATCAAATAAAATCTGTCTTATAATCTGAAATTTGTTTCATGATTAAGTATCAAATCATATCGTATCTCGATGTATGGCATGTGTGTCAAAGGTTGGTTTAATGTTGTGTCTGCCATTTGTTGAGCTATGGAATTTGAAAAATTATTGAAAAATTCGAGTATTTGGGATAAAACTCGAAAGAAACGAGTCGCGTCATCATCGTGATTCAAAACTACAATGAATCGAATGATCTAATTAATAAAGAAATTAGCTCGTTGTGAGTCGTCTCACGAATAAAAGATTTAAAGGTTTTTCGATTGATTATATACCAAAAGAAAACTTTTAAAACGGTCATTGAAAATTAACTGCCAGCTACCGTTGGTAATTGCATTGGTTTACACTTCTAATGTATTTGTTTCTGTTATCCGTAGGAAAAAAAGAACTTTAAATAAGCTTCTATCATTAACCGAAACACAGATAAGCATAGCAGTTCTATACTTGACTTTTATTGTTAAGACTTTTCATAAAGAAGTCACAGATCAATATGTTTGCAAAACGTCTTACATGGAATATTTGAAACTACATCATTTTGCTATGATTAACAGCGACATCTGTTGAATATTTTCTTTATACAATTTGAAAAATAAACTATCTTTTTATATTTATTATCAACAATAAAAAGATTACATTTTTGTAATAATATTCTTATAATCATATTCAAAACACCTATTTGATCGATACAGAATCGAATAGATAATGAATGTTGACTAGTACAGACCTGTTACAATCGATGATGATAACATCGAATTGGATGGCATATGACGTTTTTTGGATCATATGATTTCGATTCGGTTACGAAACGAAAAATTATACATAGAAAAATTTTGAATAGACACCAAATTAAATAAATTGTATATTTCAAGATGATACATAATATACGAAAAAATAGATAGAAAATATTCATAATAAAATTTATCAATATTTTAGAATATTGGCAAGTTTTTAGCCAACTATTACTTGGCTTTTTTATTGAAATATAATCAACTTTAAGTTTATCATTATTAGAAAATTCTATTTTTTGATTAACATTATCTCCTTTGGATGATACATATTGTGGTGCCGATATATCATCAGTGCATAGATCAAATGTAAGTTTAATTTGTCCAGGATGACGTATACTTTTAAAATTTTTTATTCCAAGACGATGACATTCATTCATCGTTGAAAAGAAAAATAAAGTGAAAATAATAAAAGAAAAAAGAAAAAAATCTATCGAAACCTTAGAAACATTATTTATCATAAATTTCGAAAATAGAAAAACAAACTATATTTTATATTTCAGATAAAAATATATCAGCCAACATAATGAATGGTCTAATAGCATTAATAACTGGTGGTGCAGCTGGTTTAGGGCTTGCTTGTGCTAAACGCTTTGCTCGACATGGTGCTCGTGTAATCATTTGTGATTTAGCATCATCTAAAGCCAATAACATAGTTGAAAAATGGTCATCAATAGTTTCGTCTTCATTCAATTCAGAATTAAATGAATCCGAAGATCATTTAACTGTATATTTTAAATAAAACAAATTTAAATTAATTTTGTTATCTCGAATATTTTTGTAGTCACACTTAAATGACAAAAATAATATGAAAATTCCATTATCAAATCATTTATCAACAGATCAAAATATTCAATTCGAAGCACCGACTTTTTTTCCTGCTGATGTAACTAATGAAGAACAAGTACAAGCTATGTTTAATAAAATCAAACAACAATATGAAAGACTTGATATTGTACTTAATTGTGCTGGTATTGGGATAGCTCTTCGAACATATAATATAAATAAAGTGAGAAGAACCACAACAAAAAAAAAAAAGTAAAATAATTATTTCTATTTAATATGTTTTTATATTCAGCGTTCCATGCATAATTTCGATGAATTTAAACGTATACTTGATGTAAATGTATCTGGTACATTTAATGTCATACGTTGGGCATGCCATGTTATGTCTGATAATCAACCAAATTCTCAAGGACAACGTGGTGTTATTATAAATACAGCATCGATTGCGGCTTATGAAGGTCAAATAGGACAAGTTGCATATGCAGCATCGAAAGGTGCTATTGTTTCAATGACATTACCATTAGCACGAGATCTATCAAATATGGGTGTAAGAGTTTGTGCTATTGCTCCTGGTGTTTTTTATACACCAATGCTTGCTGCTTTACCTGAAAAAGTTCGAGCAATACTTGGTAATATGGTACCATTTCCAAGAAGACTTGGACAATCAGATGATTTTGCTCGTTTAGCACAAATAATTGTTGAAAATCCATATCTTAATGGTGAAGTTATTCGATTAGATGGCGCTCTTCGTATGCCACCTTAAGATAAATTGTCATCATTGAAATTTTCTTCTTTTTTTTTTCTTTTGCCATTGAACATACATTTCATATTTTATTTTATTTTGTTGAATTTAACATCTACTTTTTTTTGTCTATGTTCTAATTAAGTTCGACAGAAGCATAATTTAGTTGTATTTTTAGTAAATGATGAATACATGATTTAGACGATATAAAAATATTGTAGATAAAGGAATTTGTTATATTAATATCATGAGAGAATAATCAGAGTCTATCGTCTATTAGCATCTTTATCATATGATATGATATCAAGGTAATATGGACACGTAGCTTCTAGAGTAAAAGAATCGGGATTGCTTCATATACTTCTTCTATGCTATGATTGCTTGTATTGCTTTTTGAAACTATATATGATTGACAGTTTTGTTCAAGGTTTTGATATCACTTTAAAAGTAAAAAAAGCTTCTATTCTTAAATGTGTGAATAAAAAATGACTGTGAAGAAACTTGGTGATCGATTGCACATTTTGGTTTTATATATCATCAAAGTAAGAAAAATCTTGAGTAGTCTATCTTGAACCTGTGTGGGATCAAATGTGTTTTAATTCTGATTGTTTTAAATTGTTGGCTGTCAGCTTTGATTTTTATCTCAGCTTGAAGAAAACTTTTTAAAGGATTTATTCATATTAAATCTTAAAAATTTTTTTTTTCGATTAATTCAATCAACGAATGTTACTTATTTTGGTTGTCTCTCTTAGATGTTGTTTTAATTTATATTGAGAATCTTTCTAATTAATTGATTAATCACTTTTTACGGTATTTTGTAAGTAAATACCGTGACGACATCTCTCGAAAAAAAAAACTGAATTTCGATTTGAAACTTTCTATAGAGACAGACTCTAACGAAAATAGTTTATCGTGAAAGTTCCAAGTCTTTTGATTTGTTTCTCTTGTAAAATATGAGCAATGTAAAAAAGACGTCCTGTTTACCGTAGCCATATGTCAAGATAGAAACAACGAAAAAATTTGAAGCTTACAAAATAAACTATTCTCTTTAAAGTCTGATTTTGTGTAAAATTTCAAGTCAAAATTTGAAAATCATTTTTCCCTATATTTCTGAAGAGCAGGGCCACAGTATTAACTGATATGATATCTTGAAAGTGTAATATCTCCACGGTAATAAACTAAAGACTGGAACTATTTTCAGGGTATTCACAACTCATTAGAGTCTATATAATGCATATAGTTTCAACTCAAAAGTGATTAATCAATTAGAAGATTTTCGTGGCTATTCTATATTCATGACAATTAACGCATCATTAAAATGTCTCTTAAATATTATAATGAGTTTTAGATATAAAAGATGATAAAACTATTAAGCAAGAATAGTTTTTCACATGAAATTTTTTGTTCAATTAAATCTAATTATTATCGTCTTTCAACAATAAACAGTAATATATTTACTCGAACTTTAAGTCATTCAAAAAATTCATCAAAATCAAATGAAAAAAAATCATCATCAACACCTTTTCGATTATTTGCACCAACAGTAGCTGAAGCCAATCTTGTTAGTTCATTTGCTAATTGGCGATATATTCCCATGGTAAAAGATATCAATACAGGAATATTTGAAATACCATCATCTGTAGAAATAAATGATGGTGAACATGAATATAAATTTTACATACGAAAAAGTGTTGAACAAACATATTGGACATGTGTTATTGATCCTTATGTAGAAAAATATGATTCTAAACATCGTCATGGATTAATAACGATACGAAATAGAGAAAAACATATTGATACATATGAATGGAAACATGATGATATAAAATTACCTGAAAATGATCAACTAATTATCTATGAAATTTATGTTGCTGATTTTACTGAAAATGGACAATTTTTAGGTATTTTATCTAAATTAAATCATTTAACTGATCTTGGTATTAATGCTATTGAACTCTTGCCTATACAAGGTATTACAAAAAATTATAATAATAAAAATATGTTTAATTTTTATTTATTCGTTCTTTTTTTGAATTATATAATAGATTACATGGGTCATGAACATGATTGGGGTTATACTCCAACACATCATTTTGCTATAAAAGCAAGTTATGGAACAAAAAATGATCTAAAAAAACTTGTTGATGAATGTCATAAACGTGGGATTCGTGTATTTTTTGATGGAGTTTTTAATCATTCAAGTTCATCTTGTCCACTTTTATCTATTGATAAACACTATTGGGTAAAAATAATTTCTTGATTATATTTAGAGAATAAGAAAAGTAGTGATGGAGATATTTCTTATTACATATAAAAGGTTGATCATTCTTCTACTAATATGATAATAATGGCATTTCGATAAGAACTATTTGCTTTGATATTTGACAATAGTATAAGATTACATTTTGTTTTCGATATGTATTCTCTTTCTTTTCCTTATAAAAAAGTGTGTGAAGATACTTAAACGGATCAACTTTTTTCGCAATATTTAAATGTGTATTATAGATAAAAATGACTTGTTTTTTTTTTACGTAGTGTATATCGGAGATATTAAGAGAAAACTTTTTAAACGTTTTCCAGATGGAAAATTTATCCTTTGCAAACACTTCCACGCACCTTTCATGATGATGAAATTATCTAGTTTCGGTATTTTCTGAATAAATATGATAATATTCAAGCGAAAATTGTGTTTAGAACGGTTAAACATGTAATCAGAAATTCTTGTAGGTTTGATATAATACAATAATTACTAACTCCTGTAGGAAGAATATCTCTACTTTCACCGTAAGAAGTACTTCTTAGTAGTAGACTCATTAACTCAGTATTTTTTTCTTACAAACTAATTAACTGCATACTAGTCATGAGAGCAGATGTAGGCCACAACTTAGTCAGCATGCTGTTAGATGGGTGATCCGAGACAGATACAACCGTTAGTGACTAATCCACATCACGTGTCTACTTAGGTGATTCTTCAAATCTGATAACATGCGATTTTTGATTATAAAGAGGAGTATAAAAAGCAATCTCAATAAGTAGATTCAACGAATGTAATTGAGTATGAATAACTAGGATGATTATTTCGAATATCTAATGAAATAAAGACTTGATGAATATGTTTGTCTATTTCTTTCATTCTTGTATCGGTACCACTCTATGTATACTCTAAAATGTATAGAAGGTTTAGGCATTAGTGAAGATAAGAAAAAAAGAACAAATAGAATACAAAATATGATAACAAGCAGCTTTTATCAAAATTTTATTTTTATAATATTAGTTGAAAAATGATCAAATATCAAAGATTAGACTATATAGAGACAAAAGTTTCTTTAAGGTTTTCTTTTTTATATAATGAATTAAAAATAATAATATTTTATTTAGTATCATACAGATAAACATTGTTCAAAAGATTCATATTATCATGGACCTGAATTTAATTATGATCATTATGATGAAACATTGAAATTAAAACCAGCTGTTAAATATGCTCGAGATATTGTTCAATATTGGATTGAAGAATTTCATTTAGATGGTATTCGATTCGATGCTGGTAAATGAACTTAATCAATATAGAGAAAATTCTCATTTTTTGTATTTGTTTTTATAGATAAACAACTTAATAATTATAATATTTTACATGAATTAGATCATTTAGCACGATCTATTCGTCTAAATCAACCATTTTTTACACAAGCAGAACATGTACCTGAAACATTAAATATTGCTAAAGAAAATAATGGTCCTGTTGATGCATGTTCATCATCAAGATTTCATGATGTTATTTGTCAAGCACTTATTGATCAAAATAAATTTGAATTAGATCATATTAAATATGTTATTAGTGCATCAAATCTTGTTAATTATTTAACTTCTCATAATAATGAACGTTTATTATATTTAATTAATCATATGGGTAAAGCATATGATGAAAATGATGCTTTTCAGCGTGTACGTCTCGGTGCCATCGTACTCATGACTTCAGTGAGTACACCGCTTATATGGCAAGGTGATGAATTTGGTGAAGCACGTAATTTAGGTAATGATAATTATCATCGAAAAAAATTACTTATGGAATGGGCATTAATGGAAAAAGAACAAAATAAAAATTTATATAATACATTTAAACATCTGATCGAATTACGACATAAAATAATAAATAAAGAAAAATATAATAAAATAAATTTTTTCTATGAAAATTCCGAACATCGTATATTAGCTTATACAAGATTGAATAATATAAATATTGAAGATATCGTTGTTATTACAAATTTTGCTAATGAAAAAAAAATTAAATATGAAATAAAAAATTTTCCTCATAATGGTCAATGGATTGATTGGTTAACAAATGATATCTATACGGTGAATAACTCAATTCTTAAACTTGATCTTAAACCTTTTGATGGTAAAGTACTTATAAAGCAAAAATAAATTTTTTTTTGACATTCCCGTTTTTTTTTTTTTCTGACATGAAATATTTCCATTACGTGTACATTAAATTTATATATGCGTTTGTGGTTTACTATATGATTGTTTTTTTTTTTTTTTTTGTTTTAAAAATAAACTAGACGACAGAATGATACTGTGAGAATGAAGAATCTAATTTTAATTAATATTCAATTCGATTTATTATATCTGCACATTCTGAAATCAGTTCAATTTTTTTTACATGATTATATATATATAAATATATGTATAGATAGCATTTGAGTTTTCTTCTATCATAGATTATGATTCTCAGAAAACTCATTGTATCACAAAGTAATGAGAACATCGAAAATTTGGTTTCTTTTCCATAGTACAAATATCTTTTATTTATTTGAATGAAGCATTTATAAAGGAAAATATTTCTGAACATATAATAATATGTCAAAAATTTTCTCGAGCAAGTAGAATCATTTTAAATATCGTATCAAATTTATAAAATCAAGGTATTGTTTTATTCGCTGACTATCATTCAAGTGGTCAGTAGAATAAATGAAATAATCAGTACGTAAAATAATTATAAAATCAATAAACTAAATTAAAAGATAAGTATACAAATCGAAATGTGTTATAGTTTGATTCAAATAGATAATAAACTAGAAATTGAAATACTTCAATTATCCATTTATACAGTTATATTCAAATTAGCATCAAGATTATTGATGAAGAACTTAAACATGACCAACAAGCAAAATAATGAATGGTTCAAATCAAATGATAGTTGGTATGAAGATACACAAGTGTATACATCGAGTACAAACAACACCTTAGAGGTAGTCAATAAAATAATTGAAGATGATGAAACGTTTAGAGAACATTATGTTTTATCAAAGATTTTGACAATAGTTTCAAATATTGTCAACAATTGGTCAATTGAATGTCTTGAGAACTTATGAACTTTGTCATATTAAATGGACTAAGGGTGCGGGTGCAGAGTGTGGATGGAGATATGCTGTTCGTATGGGGTTTTAAATGAGTGTTTAACAAACAGTGCCAACCACACCCTTAGCCTCACCCACACCTACAAACCAAATTTCACTTTTTGCGTAAGTGTCGGTGCGGTAATGTCGTGCGCGGATATGTCGGTGAATCGTCACAGATTGATCAATATTAGTAGAGTGTTTCTAATTCGATATAATAATCATTTACGATGTTTCAAAATTGTATCACTTCGGTATGAATAAGCGTTTTACAGTCCACACTTCCAAAATCATAGGTATGTTTGCAGGAAGTTCTTTTTTTGTGTCTAAAGAATAATGCGAAATGGGATGTAAATGTTAGAGCATAATTAAAATAGAACACTTTATTAGATCATAATTAAACTGTACCTATTCCATAAGTCGAAGATTGAAAATGATAGTATACTAATAATATTACCATAGTTTTTTCATTGATCATGACCTTCCATTGTATTCGAGTTTGTTCATCTGAATGAATAAACAACATGAAAGATACTTACTACAAAATCGAGTGAAAAATAATGGTAATTTGCATAGAATCCTCCTAACCAAATGTATAAAAGCGATAACTATAGAGCTGTTACACAATGTAATTATTTGATTTGTTACATTAGTCATCTAACGACTTAAGTATGTTTCTAGTCAACGAAACTATTAAAGAAAATACTTTGTCACATTAGATGAAGACTTATTCATTAACGATGTAAAAAATAAAAATGATTGATTAAACCACACGTCGTAACAGAAGCACCCAAAGCTTCTAAAATGTCCAAGTATGCGAAAATTGTAGGTGATCGATGAAAATGTTCAAATACTTATTTTCAGACGTCAGTGAAAAATAAAAATGATTTCTAGAGATTATTCGTAATCATTAATATTTCACGTCTGACCAAGACTAATTGAATAGCATTTGTGAAGCTTTGCTCGAAAAACTAAAACTGTCGCGATACAATAGAAGCTCTGGATTTTCTAAGGTGGACGGGTCTTCGATTTTGAGGAGTGCTTTATAGATTGAGATATTGTCTATTCATTCTTAATTCTCATGTTTCACGCTTATTTGTACTTCTTAAACAGACAAGAATTTGTGAAAACGCGTTGAAGTGTCTTCACACCCATTGGAAAATCATCAAAAATAGCCACTTTCATCATAAAAAGGGCACGAAAACGTTTAAAATGGAAATTTTTGAGTCAGAAGGGCGTAGAAAATAATTTTTTTTGACAGTATTATAGTGTATTTTGCAGATGAAAAATGACTGTTTTATGCATGGTACATGTCTAAAATATTGAGAGAAAGCTGTGTGAACGTTTTCCAGATGGAAAATTTGCCGTTTTTAGGCGTGTCGATGCATCTTTTTTTTTGTAAAAGTACCTCTTTCTGATAGTTTTTGAATAGACGTGAAAATGTGTAAATGAGAACCGCATTTGTGACATTTAAACGTACTGTCAAAATTAGCAAACAATCGTCTGTCTAAATACAACACAACCACTAGTTTTTATCCTCATCTGATAACGAATATAAGCAAGTCGAATTATTTATTACAGTATGCTACTAATTCAGTTAACTATTATTTTGATCTCAGTTCGTTTTCGTTTATTCTTAAATAAGTATAATAAGTCTTTAAATATTCATTTTTCGATCTAATGATGAAAATAAAAAGTATTCGAAAAATTAAATGATTTTCACTTTTTTGATTATTTTGAAATCTAATGAAAATTTCATCAAATCATTTTTTAATAAGATGATTTAAATTAATTGAGTTTATCTCTATTTCTCTTATAAACTATAACATAATTATATAAGCTCGTTACTTAGGATGAAAACATAGGTTCTTATGTTCGAGATTTGAATAATAATATAATCTTAAGCAAAAGTGACTTATAGTATTATCAATAGATTTATTCTGCAGAAATATCTTTGCGCTTATTAGCTTTTAAAAAGTCGATTCAATCAATCGATAAAGAAATAAGACCTGATGATTTTGAATAGAAAGTCTTTTTTTTTGAAAATTTTGAGAAAAAAAAAACTGAATTCATTCATTTCTATATATATATATATACTCATTGTTCACTTACATAAGTTGATTCTATATGAGATTACGTTGACTAAATAAGGAACAAAACACGTTCAAATGAGTGCTGACGAATGACGTCAAGAGCGCAAAGTCACAATCAGTTTATTATTTATTATGCATTTCCGAAAACAACTGTTCGAAATATGCAATAAAATAAGAAATGCTAACAATCTGTTCGGATTTTTTTTCTTTAGAGTCCCCAAAAGTAGAGAATTTTAATATTTGATTGAAAATATGCGTAAATAACAATGTAATAGAATTTAATTTGCTTGTTTTTAAATGTTGCATGAAATAATAAATGCTTTTTTTTCTCTATTATGATATCTATTTTGATTTATTACAAAACAAAAATAAAATGATACAAATATAGGATTTTATAAACATCATTTATACAAGATTTACGCATAAAATCATCTACAATCTATGTCTTAGATTATGAAATAAATTTCATATGTATGCAAGTTCAAAGTAGTCAAAAATACAGGATAAAACTTTCGTAGCTTCTTAATTGCGGCCAAAAATTAAGCCAATTAACACATAAGTGGCCGCAATTTGGAACACAGAATTTTACGTTGATCTCATTTTTTATGTGTTTCCAAATTGTGGCTACTTTTTAGTTCTAAAGTAATCAACAGTTTGAATTGAAAAAATATTTAATGAAAAAATAAATAACAAAAAAAATTATTCTTCATCACTACTATCTTTAGCATCTTTTATCACATGAATATAGCGATGAAAAACAGCTCGTAAAGTTTTTTGGTAGGTGTCGAAATCTTCATCTTGAATATATTTTGTTTTTGTTAACATAAGTTTATTATCATCTTGTGTATATTTTGCTTTTCTTGGTGTTGTTGTGCGTTTTTGTTGTTTTTCTTGTTCATAACGACAAAAATTAATGAACCGTTCTGATTTTCACGTTTTAATCGATATAAGTAATTCTTATATATAATGGCTTTTTCACCTTTTTCAATTGTTGACCAAGTAAAGTTTGTATTCATAGTTTGATATGTAGTATGATTTTTTATTTTCAAGATTTTATGTCATACATATTTACATATTATAGATTCAACAGAACTCATAATCTACTCTTTCTATAACTAGTTAATCAAAAGTAGCCGCAATTTGGAAACACATAAAAAATGAAAACAACAAAAAATTCTGTGTTCCGAATTGTGGCTACTTATGTGTTAATTGGCTTAATTTTTGGCCGCAATTTGGATATAGTCAAAACTTTTTAGAATTAATTTATAGCTTCTGTTTGATTTATTGACCTAATCTTACTAATACATGTATGAAAACAATTATAAAGCAAACACAAAAGAAAAAATTTTAACGAAGAAGAAAGATAATTGACTATTGTTTTTTTTCTTTCTTCGACTTGAATTATTTGGTTTCCATCATTTTTATATGACAAAAATAAATAATATCCTACCAAGACAAAGAATGTAAATTCCGGTGTGAGAACTTTCAATTTTTATTTTTATAGATCACTCTTAATATATGGCATATTCTCAATTATATACAGTTGAAAACAAAAAGCCTCATTAAACAACGTTGTAGTGTAATCGTTTCTTCTGTTATCTATTTTAAAAAACGAATGTTTGGAAACAATAAAATTATAAATAGTAGATATAGAAAATGCAACTACAATGATTTATCTTTTAATTCCTGTTAAAGTTTTCTTCACAAAAATTTTAGTACATTGATAGCTTAATTATTTGCATCAGTTGTCCTTTTATACATGTAATATGAGATATGAGCAGCTAGATATATATTTTTTCACTTTCTACTTTTAAAACAATCCTGACGCAAAGTATTGACTTGCAATGCATACGTTCAGAAAGACAAGCATTTAGTTTGATTGTGATAATTAATAATAAATCATAGAGATGAATATGATATTATATTGAAAAATATCAAAATATACATAAGTATTGTCGAGTTGTTATGGCAATGTCAACTATCTTCTTGTCCATTTTTACAACTTTTTATAGCAATATAAATTTAAATAATGTCAAAATGTGATTTAAAGAGAGTTATATTCTCTGTATGCTTGTTTGATTTTTTTCATGCTGCAAGACAAGTGTTCTGAAATCTGGGATATTCATCAAAAATATGACTCTTTTTAGACTGCAGTCTGGTGTAAATCGAGCCTAGGCTGCTACGAAAAGTTGTAGAAATGAACAAGGAAGAAGTTCTTCGACATCAATGACTGTTACACAGATGGGGCATCTTTAACATTGCTCTATCTAATGGCGAAAATCCGACTTTGATAGCTGTAATCGATCGAAAGTTATTCAACAAATGGTGACTAGTATTTTAATAAAAATCCGACAATAGTAATTTTTATTTGAATCACTGTTGAAAGAACTTGTTATATGTGAATAAGTATATTTGTCTTTTATTGACAAATTGTATACAACTTTTTTAAAATCTTCATTATGGGAAAAATATAGGACATCTACGAAGTCTAAACAATGAAGTTTTGAGAGAAACAATATTTAAAGACACATTTAAACATCCTAAATTCGTTTTTCATCTAATAAAAGGCGCGTGGAAGTACTTAAAAAAAGGCAAAGTTTTCATGTGGAAAATGTTCGAAAGTTTTCTTTCAGTATTTTAGACATACACTACGCATGAAACGGTTATTTTTCCATACAAAACCAATTAAAATATTGCCCGAGAAAAAAACGTTTGCACGTTTTCCGAGTGCAAGAATTGTCGTCTTAAGCATATTCATGCACTTTTTATGATGAAAACAGATGGTTTTGATATTTCCTCAATAGGCATGAATACACTCAAATGAGATCTACGTTTCGAACATTGAGACATGTATCAGAACAGCTAAAGAGTTATCTAGCATCACTCAATCACAAAGTGAATTATGTTGAGAAACAAGATCCTTTTTGGACATTCAAATTGAAAAAATAGATCTCGTTTAACAAGCATCTTTAGACAAATGCTATGATTTGTATAACTCATCATTAGGATTGTATTAAGGAAATCCGATGATCTACAATGTCCGATACTATTTTACAAGTGCATACAGACTTCATATTTTTCATTCTAGACATACATACATCACAATTACTATTTTTTTTCTTCTCCTAAGGTCAAACAAAGTTATGAACTTACTCATAAACTATCTCGAAATACAAAACATCATTAATTTTTATCGATTTAGTGATGTTTAAAAGAAAAAAAAAAGACATTATCGTAAGGAGCGATAAAGAAGTTCTTGAATATCGTGGCATCCTACAATCGCTCTATGGTATAGCAGAGTGATGATATAACACTATGAGTTATAGATTTCTGTATTCTAAATTCGATGTTTAAGTTGTATTTCGGGAAAAAAAAGAGCAGAGATCATCCCAAATAGACGATAATTTCTGAAAATCCGTTTAAAAGTTCTAGACGCTGTTTCTATTTGAGGATTTTTATATCCATTTAGAAAATTATGAAATCAACTACGTTCATTAGCATAAAATGTGCGTAGGAAAGAGCTAAAAATAGCAACATTCATATATGAAAAGCGTTCAAAAAGTGTTCTCTCTAAATTTCATACATACACCACGCATAAAAAAGTAATTTTTATCTGCAACGCACTTTAAAAAAGTTGAAAAAGAAAAAATGTTTTAACGCTTGCCAGATGCAAAAGCTGCGTTGTTTAAGCATCTTCATATACTATTTGTGATGAAATTAGTCGCTTTATTTTTTGATGTTAGTTAGTCTTCAAACAGGAATCATATTTAGGACGTTTAAACATTTTCTCAGAAATTTTTGTCTGCTGAGATAGGTAACACAAGATTATACACATAGAAGAATAAGAGAAGAGAAAGCATTACACCCATCTATCCTTATTACGTATGTGAGATAACGTAAAATTTAAGAAAATATTTAAAACAGAGGAAAAATATTGATTGAATTTATCCTTTCTATTATTAAATAAGTGTTATCATATACTAATAGACTTTTACATATCAGCACATTAAATTCATGCACTGTAATAATAAATGTCTATATTAAGTCTTCATTGATCTGTTTTTAATCTGTTTCTTTTTGCATCATTTCACAGGAACTTAGCACTTAGAAATTCTTTTTGCTTTCTCTTATCTTCTGTTCATAAATCTATATTGACATGCGTTGTGTATACGATCAGATAGTATTAATACTGAATTGACGTATTTTACCTTGAAGATAATACACATGCATGTACGTCATCTCTACCATATGTTAATAAACCATGACTTATAAATAATCTAAGTTTTTTTTTTTTTTTTTAATTTTGATATTCAATAGAAAAAGCATTTCTTTATATTTTAACAATAATATTAGTGATGAAAATAACGATTACGTTATATTTCTTATGCATTATTTTATCTTTTATTAATTCTGGTAAGTTGAATTGAAAAATGAATTTAATGAAAAATTTTATTTTATTTTATTTTTAGTTTTTTCTCATTCCAATTATCGAAGTCGCTTATATGATATAATTCGTCAGTCAATAAACAAAGAGGACAATCAATTATTATTAAAAATTCAACTTTATAAATATCTAAGTTCAACAACAATGTTACCAATTAATCAACAAATAAATTCAATGAAAAATAAAGAAGAAACTAAAATGTATATACGTGATAATTGGGATACAGATGATGATCATTATTTTAAATGGGCTTCACTAAATCGTCGACCTATGGAATCATTAGCAGGACGAAAACGATCAATAGAAAAAACTGTACCACCAGGATTGAAACATCATCGAATTAATACTGGTATATGGCGTAGTGGTCTTGTTGGTTAAAATAGAATAAATACGTATATATAAGTATACAAATAATAAATATACTCTGTCATATAGTTTGTTGTCAGAGTTATTGTTTTTTGAATAAAAAAAATTAATTATAAGCAAAAATTGTTACTTTTTATTTGAATCAAAGTTCAAGAGATTCCTTCATTATTTTTCAATATGAATGAAATGAATATTTTCTACATAGGAGATTTTATTTAGATTTAATAATGTTTTATATGTGAAATAATTTCTCATATCTCAGTTTTTCTTACTTGGTATTGCTATGTAATTACATCTATTCTATCTATATCGATTTAGTCAAAAAAAAAAAGATGCAGTGGCGGATTTAGGAAGTGGGAAGAAGGCACGAGGGATCATCGAATTTCAGTTACAAAATATATTTTTTTAAATTTTTCTTAGCAGAAAATGCCAAAAAATGAGTCGATATGATCTCTAATTGACTTCAAAACATGCTTTATGATCATAATTGTCTCTTTTTCTCGAAATTCTAGATCCATCACTGACAAGATGACATTAAAAATCCGAATTCTTGCATTCAATTGCGCAAAAAAGTGATCATTTCGATAGTAACTTAACAGAATGAAAAGATCATAAAATAGAATTAGATAATGATATTCTTTATACGATTCGGTATTATATTTATTTCATTGTTCGCTTTTATGAACATATATTATTGTCGCATTTCAATGCCACAAATAACAATACGAATAAATCTTATAAAATACATATGAGATATTTTTAGTACAAATAAAATAGATTGTATGATAATGAATTTGAATTTTTAAACAGAACAACTTTAATTATATGAATATGTTGTAAGCAAAATTAGGATTCGACTAGAGATTAATTCATACAAGCATTTTTTATTCAAAAAAATATTTTTATTTTTCGAAATATTCTAATAGTCGAAATATTTACTCATATTTATACAACCATCTCGTTTTCAATAATATTTTGTTTAAACTAAAAAACTTCTATTTTTTTTTTATTAGATCGTAGCTCATACATCTATATTTACATTGTTTTTCATTGCTCTCTATATTTATAGTGAATCACGTGATTGTACGAATTTATTTCTAGTCAAATTTTAATTTTGCTCGAGTAAATTTGGAATTGGATCAAATGCTAATTTTACGTGCAACATAAATATAGGGTGTGAGTGGAATAAATGCCCATTCAGCGACCCAACCACATACCTCACTCACACTCATACTTCCATTGTATCTTCTGCTTTTTTTCTTACAGAGAGAGAAAAAAAACAAAGTTCTTCGTTCAAATCCGTCATGGGCAACTTGTTTTACCTTTCCTAGCTATAGAATAAAAAATGTATTTCTTCTCTCTCATGTGCCTGTATTTATTCATGAACAGATTAAAAGAGAAGAGCCTTTCAATTCAATACGTCACAGGTAACTGCTTTTATTGTATGTTAACAATAGGAAAAATTGTTTTTTTCTTGGTTTTATCATCTGACGAGGGAACATTCCCAAGTGTCCTCTCGCTTTTCAAGCGAAACCTAGTGGGTTCTAGCTAATCGAGTACGCTGATTCCGAATATCATAATGGTTTTTTCCGCTAGGCCTTCTAGACCTGGTTTTATGGAAAACCAGGTTTCAGGTCGAAAAAAGTTTTTGAGCAAAAAAAATTATTTTGACCCCTCTATCGTGTAGAGCGCGTCGAGTTATGTATAAAACTATATTTTTTTCTGCTTTAAATCCTCTACCTAAGATTCAAATTTCACCAAGAAAGATTTTTAAAAAATTTATTCACTGAAAACACCTGTATTTTCCAACAGCGCTTCGTTTGTCTAGCTTGATCCTTTTTTTAATTTTTACGACTGTATAGATTTTAAAGCAGGAAAAAATGTAGTTTTAAACATAACTCGACGTGCTCTACACGATAGAGCGGTCAAAATAATTTTTTTTTGCTCAAAAACGTTTTTCAACCTGAAATCTGGTTTTCCAGAAAAATAGGTCTAGAAGGCCTAGCGGCAAAAACCATTATAATATTTGGAATCAGCGTACTCGATTACCTAGAACCCACTAGGTTTCGCTTGAAAAGCGAGAGGACACTTGGGAATGTTCCCTCGTAAGCACTATGGAGAGTAATAAATGTTCATTGAAATAAGGCTTTTTATAAGTATTAATGAGAGGAAGTGAGGTCCAGTCCGGATTCTGACCTTCTAATAGATCAAAAATGAATTGGTGCTGAAAAAGATCAATTGAAGTTCTGCGACGAAATGACTTGTTTTCAAAAGTTGATTACCATTCAATTCTGATAAGTAGGAATATTATAAACTGTTATCATCTATTGATTAGAATTCAATGGTGAATGACTTTTGAAATCGAAAAATTTTGTCCTAGAATGACGTTTTTTTAGATCGTCTCCCAGCTTTTAATTGAATAGAGCTTACAGTATTATATTGTTTATTGTTCTTTTTATATAAAAAAAAAATTTTATTAAACGTTCTCAGTATAAAAGTTTTTGGCTACAACTAAAGACTAATATAAGCTTTTGAGTCAACCATATATTCATCTTTCTTGACGATGAAACTCTTGTCTGTTTNCTCCCCCCCTCCCGTCTTTTTTTTCCCCCCCCCCCCCCCCCCCCCCCCCCCCCCGATTCTGCTTTGCAGTCACCAATTAAGAGAAAATGTCTGCAATCAAGAAGACACGTACGATTTTACAAAAGTAGAACAATTAAATAATATTGATTGATATTTTATTCATGAATCTTTACAAACCTATAATAACTATTTCAGTGAGTTTTTCTTTTTTCACGTAACAAATTTCAAGAAGAGTTTCAAATATAGGTGAGAATAAATAAATAGTTCTTACGATTGATAAGAGAGAGATATGATACTTTTGAAAATTTCCTGATCAAGCTAATTTTGATATGATGAAATCATACAAAATCAATTTTTAATTATGATTTAAATCTTGTTTGTTTGTTTTTATTGATCAACAAGGGAAACTACAAAGATAAATACTCATGATTCATCAAGAATTATAATTTGATGAAAAACATTTAACTAATAGACGTATAGTTAATGACTATGCAATGATTGATATTGAATATTAGATTACAAAAGAAAAACATTTCATGAAGTTTTATTAAACGAACTAAACTTATGATTCTATAATCACATATTATATATTGGTCATTTTAACAAATTAAAAAGGACAATATGAACAGATTTCCAAAGATTTCTATGAGTATTATTAATTATCTCGTTGTTTATTGATTTCTATAATTGATCATTCTAAAATAGTCATATTTTTAAATGAAAATAGAATCTCTTTCCTTATTAAAGTGCGTCCTTTTGTTCTATCTTTCTGCTTCAATTATCATGAAAAAAATAAAAAAGTAAATCTTTCTCTTATCTCTATTTTACGAGCAACAAAAACCAAGTCAGTACACATCAATTCTTGCTATAAATACTGTTTTAAGAAGATATTGCTTTCAAAATTAGAAATGCTTTATATTAGTCATGCATTTAGAGGAAGGATGAAGAGTATGTCTTTACTATAATTACACCACAGAACAAAAAATTAAAATAATTCGTTAGAAATTTTAACCAATAATTTCGACTCAACTTACTGAAGGAAAAAAAGAAAATGATAAAAAAAGATGTCTGTTGTTGCCAATCACAAGATCTGCATTCGATGTAATTGCCAGCGAATAATTTTTCTTTTCTATTCTATGGTATGATTGTAGTAAAGATGTACCGAAGAGTTGAAAACTACCCTTTTTTTTCTTACAGTCGTTCGTCTCTTCCTTATTGGAACAATCAATCCTCTTCGGGAAAATTTTTCTGAACATGTCATTGCTTTACATTAAACCCATTTGATATTCTTCCGCTAAGAAGAAAAAAAATGGTTTCAATGTTCATTGAGAAAAAGAAAATAACTATCATTTTGACCAATCAAATTCATCCTTCAGTCCTCTATTTTGATCTACTATAAGTATATATGCTTGACTTCATCATTTTATATATGAGTCTTTCTATTTTGTGCTCATTTTTTTTTATTCATTTTTCTGTAAAATTTAATTGTTAAAATATAATAATATGTAAATTTTGAGAGTCAGTCAAGTAATTAATAATGAATGCACAATAGAAGATATTGATACACAATTGTTTGATTTATTTATTTTCTATTTACTATTTATTATTTATTTCATACAAAGAATAACATCTTTTGATTCATTTATTATTCATCATACTATATCATCATTATGTCTTTGCTCTTTTTTTATTGTTTTATTTAATGTTAATGGAAAAATAAATATAGAACAAGGGTATTTTGTTAAAAACTGAGGGGCATGAAATTGATAAGCGATAAAATGTTGTTTCATGAGTGAATATGATATTTATCTTTCGTCATAAGTAACTGACGAAGAAGAAAAAACAAGAAAGGTGTATCTTCATTACATTCGAACACATTTACAAGTCGTCTTTTTTTTTATGAGTGCACCGCCGTCACATGATTTTAAAAAAAATGTCGCCGTGAACAATTTGTTTTCTTTTACATTTTTCAAAACAGAATTAATTATTCTTCTTATTTGTAGATCATTGATCCTTCTATTCTCTCAATTTCTAATTTAAATCTCTAGGTATCTTTTTTCATTTATTATCATCATCATGCCAGGAGTGACTGAAAAGTGTCCAGCCTACTCGGCTTTTTTTGGCTCTATGGGCGCAACTGCAGCCGTTGTATTTAGTGGTATGTTCTATAATCTTAAGTTTTCAATAAAAAAGAAAAGAATTATTTATTCATTTACTTATAGCATTGGGTGCCGCTTATGGTACTGCTAAATCTGGTTGTGGTATTTCAGCAATGGCTGTCATGAGACCTGAATTTATAATGAAAAGTGTCATTCCTGTAGTCATGGCTGGTATTATTGCTATTTATGGTCTTGTCGTTGCTGTCCTGATTGCTAATAATATAGCTGCAGACAATTATGGTCTTTATAAGTGAGAAAAAAAAAAATTTT